ACACCTGAACTCACTCCCTCATCAGCCTCCCGTTCAGCGTCCTGTATTCATCTGTTTCACCTGTTTTCACCTCGTTTAGTTTGATTCCTGTGTGTATTTAGTTCCTTCCCATTCAGTCTGTCTTTGTCGGTCGATGTTAATGTTACCCTGTGTTCCGCCTGCCTGTTTCCTGTTTATTTGAGATTAAACCTTTTGTATTGGAGCTTTTCTGGACTCTGCCTGTTCGTTTGCCTGCACCCACCCCGTGACAGATCGACCGACCTCCAAACATGGATTTAGCAGCTGTGCAACTTCTCCTCCTGGAGCAGGAGGATCAATCCCTCGAGGCCCACACACAGAGGTATTTGGACTTGGTACCTCATGTTCACTATGATGTTACCAGCCTCTGTGTGTTCTTCCGGGCAGGCCTAAATGCTGAAACCCAGGCACGCCTGCCCGGAGACGGGCCTCGAGGGGACTTTGCGGCCTATGTGGAGTGGGTGCTGGTGACATGTGGATCTCCCTTTACCGTGGATGACGTCACTAGCCCCACTCCATCGCTAGAATGCTCTTCACCGCTGGTTCCGTCCAGCTCTCCAGAGACTGAATGCTCTTCACCGCTGTTTCCGTCCAGCTCTCCAGAGACTGAATGCTCTTCACCGCTGGTTCCGTCCAGCTCTCCAGAGACTGAATGCTCTTCACCGCTGGTTCCGTCCAGCTCTCCAGAGACTGTATGCTCTTCACCGCTGGTTCCGTCCAGCTCTCCAGAGACTGAATGCTCTTCACCGCTGGTTCCGTCCAGCTCTCCAGAGACTGTATGCTCTTCACCGCTGGTTCCGTCCAGCTCTCCAGAGACTGAATGCTCTTCACCGCTGTTTCCGTCCAGCTCTCCAGAGACTGAATGCTCTTCACCGCTGGTTCCGTCCAGCTCTCCAGAGACTGAATGCTCTTCACCGCTGGTTCCGTCCAGCTCTCCAGAGACTGTATGCTCTTCACTGCTGGTTCCGTCCAGCCCTCCAGAGACTGTATGCTCTTCGCTGCTGGTTCCGTCCAGCCCTCCAGAGACTGTGTGCTCTTCACTGCTGGTTCCATCCAGCTCTCCAGAGACTGTATGTTCTTCACTGCTGGTTCCGTCCAGCTCTCCAGAGACTGTATGCTCTTCGCTGCTGGTTCCGTCCAGCCCTCCAGAGACTGTGTGCTCTTCACTGCTGGTTCCGTCCAGCTCTCCAGAGACTGTATGTTCTTCACTGCTGGTTCCGTCCAGCTCTCCAGAGACTGTATGCTCTTCGCTGCTGGTTCCGTCCAGCCCTCCAGAGACTGTGTGCTCTTCACTGCTGGTTCCGTCCAGCTCTCCAGAGACTGAATGCTCTTCACTGCTGGTTCCGTCCAGCTCTCCAGAGACTGTATGTTCTTCACTGCTGGTTCCGTCCAGCCCTCCAGAGACTGTATGCTCTTCACTGCTGGTTCCAACCAGTCCCGTCCAGACCATCCAGCCAGCGCCAGAGACCGTCCAGCCAGCGCCAGAGACCGTCCAGCCAGCGCCAGAGACCATCCAGCCAGCGCCAGAGACCGTCCAGCCAGCGCCAGAGACCGTCCAGCCAGCGCCAGAGACCGTCCAGCCAGAGCCCGAGACCGTCCAGCCAGCGCCAGAGACCGTCCAACCTGAGCCCGAGACCGTCCAGCCAGAGCCCGAGACCAGGATCCCACCCAGCCTCCCTCTCCCACCTCCTCCCGTCATGCATCCGTCAGCCCCTCCGTCTGCCAGCTCCCCTGACCTAGCTGGGTTGTTGGATCCCCGGCCTTCGCCTCACACCTCCTCCATTTGGACACTTCCTCGGCCCTCTGTTCCATCAGCTCCCCCGTGGCTCCTACCTCCCTCAGCTCCTCCATGGCCCCTCAGTCCACCAGCTCGACCAGGCTCCCTCGACCCTCTGGACTCCCTTCGTTCCCTCGTCATCCTCCCTTCACCTTTGGACTTCCTTCCCTTTGCTCCGCACCGTCATGTCACCCCCCCGGTTCTGTCGGACTCCTCACTCCCTCCAGTCACCCGTCAGCCCTCACTCCCTCTGGCCTCACCGTGTCCCTCTGTGCCCCTGTCGTCACTTCTGTCACCTGAGCCTACGGTGTCCCCATGGTCCCTCGGTCCCTCTTCAGCACCCGATGTCGTCTGTCCCTCTGCTTCACCCTGGTCTCCTCTCCCATCTGCTCCGCCCCTGTCTGTCGGCCCCCTGGTGTTGTCAGCCCCGCTTCCATCGGCTCCACCAGGGGTCCTCCCTCCATCTGCTCCGCCCTGGTCTCGCCCTCCATCTGCTCCGCCCTGGTCTCGCCCCCCATCTGCTCCGCCCTGGGGACGCCCTCAGCCTGCTCCGCCCTGGCCACGCCCTCAGCCTGCTCCGCCCTGGCCACGCCCTCAGCCTGCTCCGCCCTGGCCACGCCCTCAGCCTGCTCCGCCCTGGCCACGCCCCTCTCAGCCCCCAGTTCGTCCCCCCTCCTTCCTCTGTTCTGCGGCGTGAGGTCACGCCTCCCGGGAGGGGGGAAGTTCTGTCACAGTCCCTCGTCTGCACCATCCTGTCTGCGTCTCCAGCACTACACTTCCCAGGATCCTCTTGTCTCCACACCTGAACTCACTCCCTCATCAGCCTCCCGTTCAGCGTCCTGTATTCATCTGTTTCACCTGTTTTCACCTCGTTTAGTTTGATTCCTGTGTGTATTTAGTTCCTTCCCATTCAGTCTGTCTTTGTCGGTCGATGTTAATGTTACCCTGTGTTCCGCCTGCCTGTTTCCTGTTTATTTGAGATTAAACCTTTTGTATTGGAGCTTTTCTGGACTCTGCCTGTTCGTTTGCCTGCACCCACCCCGTGACAAAGACATGCTCACATGACCACTCATCATATAATCACAGGATATATAACAATAAACCTTTTCCTTATGTGTGCCTTATATCAATTCAGTAGGCTATACACAATTTGTAATTTCCACAATTCACATAAAATACACATTTCTAGGTGTAACGGTTCGTTGTTGTGGGAAGAAGGAGGCAACAACAAAACAACAACAAAATGAAAGTATAAGCCCCTCACGGACGACTGCTGGCCACACAACACATAAGTTCAGGGGCAGGGCTGTTCCTCTCTCGATCTTCACGTCGTCGCTCCTATTTATGCTTCCGCTCCTCCATGAGAGATGCGAGACCGGTGCGTCGCACAGTTGTGATTCATCATCACTCACGTCCCTCGGCCTCGTGCCGCTCGCCACAATAGGCTACTAACCTTAAACTTTACAACAAAATCACACTCTAATCAAAACCAATTGAACTAATTCAAACTACATAGACAGACAGACAGGAAGAGATAGATAGATAGATAGATAGATAGATAGATAGATAGATAGATAGATAGATAGATAGATAGATAGATAGCCTAGATAGATTTTTTTTGTACTTTTGGAGTGCTGTCAGTACAAACAAAAACAACAAAAATCAGTGTTGCCTACACCGTGTTATCGTCTTTTTAAAATTCGCACCCTGTTGACTTCAATAGGGCATGTTCTAAACCTGCTATATATAGCCTCTTAACTAGAGCCCGACCGATAAAGGATTTTGAAGACCGATGCCGATACAAATATTTTTGGGTTTTAAAATCCGATATTCCGATATATTGGCCGATTTTTATTTATTTTTTTAATTATTTTTTTTAAACTGGACATGATAGTCACAAATTTTGTCATGCTTATTTGAGTTAAGAGAACTGAATCAAACAGATCTCATTCCCCATTGACTACCATAGTAATATGTATTTTTTCCTACTATGGATGTCAATGGGGAATGAGATCTGTTTGATTAAAACATTCTTCCAAATATCTTCCTTTGTGTTCAGCAGAACAAATAAACAAATAGAGGTTTGGAACAACATGAGGGTGAGTAAATAGTGACAGAATTTTCATTTTTGGGTGAACTAACCCAAAACTTTAAGACATCTTTTAAGGGTTAAGCTTTAATTTGTTTTCTTTAATTTTAAGAGTAAACACCGAATTTTCTAAGAATTGTCTTTGTTTGTCACTAGGAGTGACTCTTTGATTCTTTATGAATACAGACCCTGGGGTTTTACAGTTCTTGTTGCATACAAGGCTTTCACCAGCAGATGTCCTCAGTGTGTGAGAGTTTAGTGGTTTGGACACAGGTTTGACAATCCTTATTACACTATAGTGTATTATTTCAGAGAAAATCTGTATTTCTGGAGGAGTGTTGGCAAAGCAGTTGATCTTACGTTTTGTTGGTAAGTAAGTTGTCTTTTGCAGGAAAGCTATCCTGATCTTATTAGAAGAGACTACATTTTTCAACATCTCATTATTAAATTAGTAAAGGAATTTGAAGCAAATAAGTAAGGAATTTCAAAGATTTAATGTGGATTCAAACATTTGTCCGAATAACGATATTGAAATATTTTTTTTTGCAATGTTACTTGGTTAATCCATTTTGGAATGAGGTGCTTATAAAGCTACAATACCTACGATTTTATGGATAAAACATAACTTTACTCCCATATATTACTTTGGATATGGTGAAATTTGGAGTATACATTTGGATGACAGAAATGGAGACGTTTATTTATATCCAAAGATTGAAAGATGATATTTGGCTGTACGAGTGTAACGAGTAGCATAGGTGTTGTGTTAATATAAAAATTAATCAAAAAAAAAAAGAAAAAAAGAAATGGAGACGTTGTTATATGATATTTACTATTGTGAAATATTTAAAGTATAAAGTTTGTAAATTATGACTTGTTTAGCAGTATGATTTTGTATACCCCCCTGCAGTGTTTATGTATTTCAAATTTTTTTTTGTCTCAGTCTGTGAAGTCTTATAGTTTCACTTATATTTGCCAGTTATGTTTTTTGTTGGAAGGCAAAAAATTAAATAAAAATACTCTGAATCGATGGCAGAACCTGTGGCTTGGATGGCCAGGTGTACTAGTGGATGCCAGAGCAGATCGCTGTGAGGAAATGGGAAGTATGCAGATGCCAGGCGCGCTAGCAGATGTCAGAGCGGGCTGATCATGGCTCTGTCGAGAGCACTGAGATGTTGTCAGAGGATTTTCTCCTGGATTCCCGTCATCATCATCTCATCTGTGGTCCTCTGGTCTTATTACGCCTATGTCTTTGAGCTGTGCTTCGGTAAGATTTCACTGTTGACCATTTATGCCTTTTGGTTCGCTTAAATGGTTCTTGTTTGTCTGAAACAAGGAAGTCTCTTGTTTTTTTTTTTCACAATGGTTCGCCAGTTTACTATTTTTTGCTATCATTATACAAAATAAAATCGGTTTTAGTCATTGTATCCGTTGTTATACCTGGATCATAGCGTTGTTTATGTTTTCATGGGCTGTGTCTTCAAACCTATTGATATTCCTGCCTAGAACCCATACAGCAGATTTATAGTGTCTGAATAATCCCTGTGAGGCCGTGATTTCAGGACTTTCTGCCTATTTTCTGTTGGTTTTGAGACACACATTATGTTTCACGACACTGATCCTGATTGATTACCTGTTTTTCAGTTACTCTCAGTAATCATCTGGAGAGGGGTAAGTGAACTTCAGTCATTGCTTATTAGACAAAATCATGCCTTCTTGATCTACGAATGGACTTTTGTTTAAAACGTGAAAGTGGAAATATCATTTTCATGTGCACAAACAGAACTATACACTCATAATGGGGTAAAACAGAATGACATGTTAGCAGCACATTATAGTTAACCACACTGTAGTTCAGCTGTAACTGACTTAGTTATGGCCAGTTAAGTCTTAAAGAAAAAAAAAAACCATATGACTAATTTGTAACACACTGTGGTCCACAATCACAAAAACACCAGCTGATTCAAAGTCATTGCAACAACCTAATACAGTGTGACTGCAGTTGAGCTTAGGGCTGCGTTTACACTGCGAACTTTTGACCATATTCGATATTTTGGTTCGTCTCTTTACATTCACTTCGATATCTGTGTTACAGTAGTTGCACCCAAAATTATTACCAGTGATCACTTTACTATGCACATAGTAGTCCCTCTAGTTTTGAATGGTCATGCTATTAAAATAATTTATAATTCATGTCTGGTGGCCATGATTATTTGACAAGATAACAGCTCTCATGGATGTCTTGCAGTAAAAAATCTGACAGAACGGATATAGACAGGAAAAGAAATTATTTTCCGGTAATTTCTTGTTATTTTATCTACGACTCCTCAGATCAATACTTCTGAAGTGAAATAAAGTAGCGCTGTAAGATTAAAATTTTATAAATGAATTTGAATTAATTAAATAACGAGAGAGAGAGAATCCTAATAGTGAAGCTTGGTTGTGTAATTACAGCGAAGTCATCATCTCTCTGCTGACTGAAAAGCTTTTAGGGCTGCACGATACTTGGAAAATATGCAATATTGTTGTTGAGTATTGTGGTAACGAAATGTCTTGCGATATAACATTTTCCCAGAGAAATGCTATTTTTATTAGCTATTTAAAAAAAGACATTTGGATGTGAAAAAATCGGATCTTGTGCAGATTTTTGTCTGTTTAAACACGTGTGCAACAAATTCTGATCTGTGTCAGATGTGAGTGAAATTTTAAATTTTTTGTCAGCTCTAGTTTATACACGCCCTCAGTAATTTGAAATTTTATTTGAAGGATAGCCCCTTGAGATGTAACGTCTCGTTTTCGAGGGGTCCTGAGAACAAACATAAATACCAACAGCATTTAGCGTTATGTCACTTAATATTACACAATCACATTCTTACCAACATTTACAAACATTTAGCTCTCCATAACTATCTCTTCACATACAAGCCTTTTAAGTACATTAATACAATAAGTATGCAGTTATCACACATAACATGCGTTATGAAAATAAAGAAGTCCTATGTATATATTTCCTATGAAATTAATGAAGTCCTATACATATGACTTTACTATAACATGTAATGTGTGTGTTTTTTTTGTTTCCACAGTGGCCTATTTGTTGATATTCCATGTTTGCTTTATCATGTTCTGGTGGACCTATTGGAAGGCCATCTTTACTTCACCATCTACACCGTCTAAAAAGGTGCTTGTGATTTAATGATTTTTGTTAGAGATTCATGAGTTAGTTGTCTTAAAGGATTAGTTCACTTTTGAAAAAACTTTTGCTGATAATTTACTCACCCCCATGTCATCCAAGATGTCCATGTCTTTCTTTCTTCAGTCGAAAAGAAATTAAGGTTTTTGATGAAAACATTCCAGGATTTTTCTCCTTATAATGGACTTCAATGGGAACCAGGTCCAACCGAGGTCCAAACGACAGTTAATAACAGTTTCAGATGCAGCTTCACATGTCATTAAACGACACCAGACGATGAATAAGGGTCTTATCATGCGAAACGATCGGTTATTTCAAAGCTTTTTCCAAAAATGTAACTTTTCTAAGGACAAATGCTAGCCTTGTAATATACTGTGAGGCGCGTTTGCAACGTCGCGTAATACGTAATTACGTTCAGAAGGTCACGGGCGATGTAGCCGGAAGTACAGAATCAAAATCGTCCGACATCGTTGTTTTACCTTTTAATTCCTTTTTTGTAAACGGCGTTTGAGTTAGTTTTCACGTTCAACCTATGCGTTCAACTTGTAAACACTGACTATGTACTTCTGGCTATACGTCGCCCGTGACCTTTTGAACGTAATTACGTATTGCGTGACGTTGCAAACGCGCCTCACAGAATGGAGAAAGGCTAGCATTTGTCCTTAGAATAGCTACATTTTTGGAAAAAGCTTTGAAATAACCGATCGTTTCGCATGATAAGACCCTTATTCATCGTCTGGTGTCGTTTAAAGACATTTGAAGCTGCATCTGAAACTGTTATTAACTGTCGTTTGGACCTCGGTTGGACCTGGTTCCCATTGAAGTCCATTATATGGAGAAAAATCCTGGAATGTTTTCATCAAAAACCTTAATTTCTTTTCGACTGAGGAAAGAAAGACATGGACATCTTGGATGACATGGGGGTGAGTAAATTATCAGCAAAAGTTTTTTCAAAAGTGAACTAATCCTTTAAAGTCCCCCTGTAGTCAATAATTGTATCCCTTAAAACTCACATTTGATCACCAAAATGAGATATTTAAAGGTTTTTTCCTTGAATTTTTTTTTTCATGTCTTAAAATATCTTGACACCATTGCCTCATTTAGTATACTCGGTTCTATGAATATGCAAATGAGCCCCGCCTCCACTCACTCACTCAGAGATCCACTGGTTGACGATCACACGTTGATCTGATTGGTTACAAGGTGGTTTGTGACGTCATAAACACCAGCGATTTCAATCCGTGTTTTTGAGACTGTCTTTGGTTCACTGCAGTTTTAAGGAGGAAATACTCAGCAATGCTGTCCATTTACACATGGTTTGTCTTAAAGCATATTAAAAACATCACATAGATGTATAAACAACATTAAAAGCTGGATTTTTACCACAGTGGGACTTTAAAAAGTGCTTGTGTCATATTTTACTCCATGTAAAATTATATTTTACTATAGTTACTCTTTCTCAGCCGCAATCAATTGCTTACTGGCAGTTTACAGACAAATATATTACAGAATTTGAGATAATATTACAGCTATATATATATATGTAAAGCTGCTTAGAATCAGTGGCCATTGTGAAAAGTGCTTTATGAAAATTCATTTAACTCATAATGTGAAATTATTGTAATAATAATAATATTAATAAAATATATCTAATTTATGTTTGTGCTTTTTAAACCACACCTTTGTACCTCGGTGAACTTTTGTTGATTGTCATGCAAAAAATCCCAATGATGCTCCAATAAGACTTCAGTTTGTTCATTCATACGTTTGATAAACTTTGAAATTGTGTGTGCTCTAGTTCCAGTTATCATACACTGATAAAGAAAGATATGAGATGGAAGAGAGACCGGATGTTCAGAAGCAGATCCTCATGGATATTGCCAAGAAACTTCCCATCTTCACGCGCGCTCAGTCTGGAGGTACACAGAGCCACCTGTCTTTAGTGTGTACATTATTTCCACAGCAGCTGCAGCCATACAGTCCTTTAGCAGAATGTTTGTCAGGGAAACATGTGATCGGATGTGAAGGCGGGCAGCTGATCTCCTTTATCTCCATGTCTCCAGCTATCAGGTTCTGTGATCGTTGTCAGGTGATAAAGCCAGACCGCTGTCACCACTGCTCCGTGTGTGAAACGTAAGTCTAGCTACACACCCATCCCAGTTCCTGATAACAGATCTCTCTACACAAAAGCCTTATTTTAATTAAAGTTACAGGCTGCAGACCTGGAATCACTTGTGTCTTTTTCTCCCTGTGTTTTTATAGATGTGTTTTGAAAATGGATCATCATTGTCCGTGGTATATAAACATTTATTATATTATTGATTATTTATCGGTTTCAGTTCTGTTAGATACACTATGTAACTTTTTTTTTGTTAAAAATGTACTTTTAAATAATGAGTTATCAATCCTTCTTCATTATTGCTCTTTTTTATTGCATTATTGCATCATTAGAGGCATTATTTATGTCTTTTGGAATGTAGTTGGCTTATATATTAAAACTATGAAAATCACTGAGAAGGCTGCTTTCATTTTAAAATACTAACACACGCTTTGTGAAGAGCGCTCGTGCATGCGGCCGTGAGCGACTCATTGGTTAAATGGGCATAAACTTGCATGTCAAAATGCTTTTATGACGCGAAATTAATGTAAACACGGTCAGTTCTTAAACCAACAGGACAAACCACATTTACAATTTCAAGAGATATGTGCATTAGTGTGAATGCAGCTTATCGTATCTAAACTGAGGGGGAAATCACTCCAGCTCTCGAATGATAAACATTCAGACAGCCTACTTTTAAACACTGAGACCACTCTTTCTTTATTGCTTGTAATGCTTTTTTTTGTTTCTCTTTATTTACTAGCTTTTATATTATGAAGATGTGAAGAGTTCAGATGCAAAAGCCTCTAAATGCCATTTGAAATTTTCTTCTTTAATGATGATTTTTATCAAGCTTGTATATTTAAGTTCAGTGATTTCACTTAAATGGCAATGATAATTACCTATTAATTGTTATTTAAGTGAAATTACTGAACTTAAATATACAAGTTTGATAAAAATCATCAATAAAGAAGAAAATTTCAAATGGCATTTAGAGGCTTTTGCATCTGAACTCTTCATATATTATTTTATAAAGCCGATTTAAAATTCTTAACATTGGTTTAATTAAATGTTTTTTTATAATTATTTTTTAAAGTATGTCTTTTTTCACACATGTAATTAAATACATATTTTAAGTGTTATTAACATTAATTAATAAAAAAAAAGTAGATCAGATCATGAGCTATCTAAAGATTCCCATCCCTACTCTACAATGATTTATTGCTTGTCTTTGTCGACTAATACAGAAGGTAAAGAATTTTTTTTCTTCAAATCGCGATCGCAATATTGGTTAAAAAAATCGCAATTAGATTATTTTCCATAATCGTTCAGCCCTAATTTATAGTGAAGATCATTTCATTATGGTGGTTGTGCTGGACCTACAAACTGTCTAATAATGGATTAAACTACAGTAACGTCTTCATCTAGTCAGCTTGAGATCCTTTCCATCTAAACTGGTTATATCTCTTAAGACTAGTAATGTGTTTAATGAGCAGGAGGATAACCAAAATCATCCGCACAGTCACGCAGAGCCGAAGAACAACCAAAACAAAGTTCTTCAGCAGAATGCAGGCAATTTAATTTTTTTTAAATGCTAGACGGCCAAAAGTTACATAGTGTACCTTTAAATGTATTTCATAAGCAACAATATTATAGTTTGAACTGAAGGATCTGAAATGTTAGATATGTGACGTTTTTGTCTTCTGTACTCTTTAGGGTAAATAACTGTGTTGGATTCTCCAACTATAAGTTCTTTCTGCTGTTCCTGTCTTACTCCATGATCTACTGCATCTTCATCGCATCAACAGTGTTTCAGTACTTCCTCAAGTTCTGGGTGGTGAGCACTTTTGACTTTTAAAATCAGTTGAGCTCAAATTAGCTTAGGCAAGTATTAGAAACTATAATACGGTCACGGAAAACCTGGAAATATCACCAGAATTTCCAAAGTCATGGATAAATCATGGAAGGTCATTTTGTTAATGCATTTCTCTATTATGCTTTGTACTAAAATATTTAATCAGAGCATTATGTTGAACTCAATTTAGCCACACAGTTAAAATATCATGTTCTTTATTTTGCTTATCCAATTAGAGACACAAACATACTTTTACATTGTTAAGCTAATTGCCATTTAATTCGTTTTTTTCGGTGAAGTGTGTCTCTTTTGCTAATTGTCACTTACTAAAATCATTATATATAATTATCATAATTTGTTTGGTATTATACCAAGTCACTGAACCAATTAATTATACATGTGCGCAAGAGAATAAGCCTTATTTGTTTATTTCAGTGATGGAGGTTATAAGTGATCATTTGAGTTACAGGTTCCCCAATGATGTTGAATGTAATATAAATAATTATTCTGCCTTCACGTGTTATCGGACATTTCCAACTTCCTTCTTCTGAAGTCGTGATTACAAGCTCGTCGCATTCGAGTGCTTTGTTGTCAGAAAGAACAGGAACCATAAAGGACACCAGGTTTAGTCTTGCCCATTTATTGGGAAAATCTTGTTAAAGCCAAAATGCGATGTAACGTCCTGTTCATTGACAAACATAAACATTCACCACACTATCTAGAATAGATGGTCTGCTTGCTGACGTTTTTGGATTTTCTGCTAAATTTTGGGTATTTTCATTGTGTATAACACATACAATACACTTCAAATGATAATTAATGACAAGATGTAGCTGAAAAACTCAAAAGAAAAGCAGTCTGAGCCAGCAATCGTTCTCTCCTCCACCATGTTTAAAGTTTGTGGCATGTCTATCTCAGAAACCTGGTTTCAAAATTATTCCAGAGCTTCCCAGTGGTAAATACGACTTGAGAGGGCGTAATTTTTACGATAATATCGATAACGCGTGATACTTTATACAGTGATTTTGATCAGTGTCTCTAATTCTCTTTCAAGTTTTGCCTCCATTTAAGAAGCAATTTTGATGATTCTTTGAACTCTGCAGTGTTGTTTAGATTGTATCAGACAAACACTCTTAAGCATTTATTACTATCAATGAAATCACATAACCTCACATTTGCAAAATAACAACACCACACCAGTGTTGTTTTCTAAATGGAAGGTTAAATGTTTAGACATGGAAATGTGGTTTTAGTTGTTCAATAAGAATGTGAACCCTGTAGAGAAGTAAGAGTTCATAATTTGAATTAAGTGGTTAAACATTGTCTTTACCTAATTTTAAGACATGTTAACGACCATATAATTTGAATTATGTTCTGACACGTAAAACCATAAAATTCTAAAGAGTGACTTTTCTTTTTCACATGACTGTATGCTAGTGTGCTCGTTAAAACTAATAAACTACTGTATAAGTAGATGTACACTTACAAAAAAACATTTCTCAGTTGAAGAATGCAATTTGAAATCTACCATCAATAGTTCAGATCTGTATTTGCCATGTGGCTAATGACCCTAGAGCTTCAGGAAAATTAGATTGGTTGTTGTCAAAAAAAAAAAAAAGAACAGTTTGGCAAGTGAGCTGAACTGTATGAAGTTCAGCGAACTTCTGAACTGTATGAACAGTGTTCGTATACACTATATACTCAAAGTGGACTGTCTTCATAAAGTATCTTCTTATTAAACGGTCTGTACTAGGGCTGGGCGATATGGCCAAAAAATCATATCTCGATATTTTTTGGTCAAATGGCGATATACGATATATATCTCGGTACTTTCTACGTTTTCTATTTAGATAAAGAAAATCTTTATATTTAATATATATATATATATATATATATTCACATTCGGCCCAATGATATCCTACAAACAATGTTGATATTGAAGGATATGGAAACAAATATAATATAGGCTATGCAATATATTATGTGCAAAAAGCTTTTGTTTTTATATTGACTAAAAGCTAAACTAAAAATGAAAATAAAAACAAAAACAAAAGCACAAACTAATTATATTAGCCTGCATTTGATTACCCCATTATAATCACTTTCACTTTCATTAAAAATATATACTTGTAGGTTTAAAATTCCACATATGGCACATTTATTTTCTCCAACAACAAATATTTTAGCAATATGTTTATTTTAGTCAGAATTATTGCGTACTACGTAGTACTATTCACGCGCATGCGCGCGCCGGCGCTCGTTCAAGGAAGCATGAATTTTAGCGGAGATTCACTTGCAGAAGCTCGTCCTCTTCTGACATGGACATATTTGTTGTGAAATGGACATATTTGCTTTACTTTCTAACATTTACAGATGGAGAATATACCTGTGAAATGTAAGTTGAGCACTGAGGAAAGCACCACATCTCAAACGCATTAAACAGCGCAAGTATATCTGTCAGTCAGCAACAGTGTCTGTCAGAGCATTTGACAGGGCGGCAAGCTGCCTTAAACTTGTTAACTATATCAAAGTGATTTTGATGCAATTAATATAAGCTTGTGTCATGTTTAGGACAAATTGTACTACGTAGCCTAGCTACTTTCACTGCAGCAGCTCACACTGCAACCTCCGCTATTTTTCAGATGTGCTCATATCAAACTACTGTATCGATATAAACGGTATTGCCTCATTCCATATCGTTTCAAAAAATATAACGATACATCGTACATATTCGATATATCGCCCAGCCCTAGTCTGTACACTTACAACGTTCTCAATGCTTCGTTTTGCATGTATGGACCCTCATTATGTTACTGCGTTAGTGTGGGGCTATTTTGAGCCTTGTTAGTGGTATTAACTAGCGATTTCTTTTTTACTTATTATATGCCCCCATTACTAGTGTATACACAAAACAGTTTTTAGAGATAAAACTCTTTATATTCGATTATCATGAAAACAAATCTCAGAGAACGGTCGACTAGGTACCGATGTTTTATTAGACCAAAGGTTCACTTTGTGCCAGAGTTTTCTTTAAAATACTTCATTTTCTCCCCCTCATGTCAACTTTTGATCATTCATTTTCTCCGTGAAATTTTTGTCCATTTAATGACGGTGTTGTTTTGGACCCCATAGACTTTCTCTCTTTTTTTCCCAACTGTTTTGTCTATACGTTCTTAAATATTTTATCTTGTCGGTGTTCTGTAGAAGAAAGAAAGTCATACAGGTTTGAGATGACAGATTTTATAGACCATTTCACAAGATGTAAACAACACTGGCCCAGAAGCACTTCCTGTTTCAGTTTTTTAACACTACATAAAAGCTGGGATAAAATACAACCAACAGAACATTTAAAACTGAATCAAAAAGTTAAACATCTTTGTTTACATGTGAAATAAAGAAAACAGTTACAAACTGAAACAGGAAGTGGTTCTGGACCAGTGTTGTTTACATCTTGTGAAATGGTCTATAAATAATGACCATCCCTTTACGGGCAAGTAGAATAATACGATAGCCACAGTTTTTGCATGTGAATGAAGTTGCGGTGTGTGGACTTGTACAGGTAGATGCAAAGAGATTCTTTAACCCTAGTGCATCCTTATGGACATTTTTGTCCTTTTCAGTTTTGTTTTTTTGATCACTTTGCCTGTGTTAAAGCTAACTGCAAAAAACTTGCCACAGGTGTGTATTTTTATTGATATTTTACTATTTCACCGTCATTTTCTTAAAAAAAAAAATATTTTTTGCATTAGGGACAAAAAATACTCCCTCTCAGCGCCTTTTGGACAAAAATGTCCCCATTGAAACCCATTAAAACTGCCATTTTTAATCCCCGGTTCAGTTAACTATAAAATTATGCAATCTTTGTTAAGAGGCTTTCATTCTGATGGCAAGGCTTCAAAATTTTATTTTTTACTATTTTTTATCAGATGGTGTCATTTTTTTTTTTTAAAGTTTGGCCTATAAAACAAATATCGCTTTATTCATGTTTTCTGGTTCGGCATACCATAGAGCCAACTGGATAAATTATGCAACAATATTTGTGTGGGTGTGTTGGTATGGATGTCAGAGTGTGGTTAGTGTGTGTGTTATAAAAAAATATGTGTGTGTGTTTGTAATACTGAGAGAGAAAAACTGCAAATTCAAATCCAATCACTGTGAGCTCCAGTGGGGTTTTGCTGGGACCCAATGGGGAAAATATGTTACTACGCCCAAACAAACTGTTACCGAAAGCTCATTTTTTGAGATATCATCCTCAAATTTGGAACACAAGCTATTTAAATTTATGGCTTTGATTTTATTGCAGTTTTGAGTTCAACCTGATTTAAAAAATATATATTTTATATAAAATATTTTTTATAAATAATTTTCATAAACTTGTACCTATATACCTTTTTTTTGTACTTATTTTTTTTTTTTACTTCAGCAATAATATGCAAAGGGTCTTCTTTAAAATGATACCAAACTTTAGTGGTAGTTTTTTTGACATGGACATTTTTGTCCTCTTTTTACCTATGTGTAACTTTTTTTAATTGACGCACAAGGGTTCAAACTGTTCTCCGACATTATAACTTGGAAAAATAATATAGTACAAATTTTTATAATACAAATGTGCACTTGTTAGTTTTGTTAAACGCATCCATTTCAAGTCTCTTTGCATTTGTTTGTTAGGGAGATCTGCCCAATGGCTCCGCGAAATTCCACGTGCTCTTCCTGTTGTTTGTGGCTCTCATGTTTTTCGTCAGTCTTATGTTCCTGTTTGGCTACCACTGCTGGTTGGTGGCTAAAAACAGATCGACGCTAGGTGAGGAAACCTTCACTTCTTTTGTACTGGATTCCCTGATTATCATTTATCCTTTCATTGTGTTTCTGCAAGACGTTTAAAGGTCATAGTTGTACTCTGCTTGCATGACCTTTGGTTTGCAGATGTGATTAATGTTTGACCTCCATGAACGTTTCTGTTTTCCAGAGGCGTTTTCGGCACCAGTGTTTCAGAACGGGCCTGACAGGAATGGCTTTCACGTTGGGCTCAGCAGAAACCTCCAGCAGGTGTTTGGGGAGGATAAAAAGCTCTGGTTCATTCCTGTGTTCACAAGGTGAGCTCATAGCAAAACTGGTCGCAGCAACTGTGTGGCTCAAGCACAAACGTCACACTGGCTATATGGATAAATGGATACAAATTTCAAAATACACTATGAAGTATGCCTTATGTAAATATTTTCCATGTGTTCTGTGTGTTTGTGTGTTATAGTCAGGGTGATGGGCACTATTTCCCGCTGAGGACCCTGCGAGAATCCGAGAATCCTCTATTGGCCAATGAGGAGAAATGGTTAGAGGACGGTGGATCAGATGAGGAAAGTGCAGGTGAGATCAACAATTTTAATTGTATGTTATACATTTAAATTGTATCTTTAAATGCAGCAACCAAAGCTCAGTATGTAATTTTCAGGTATATCTGAAATACTTTGGTGCCACCAAATGTCAGTTGTTCAGCCACAACTTAAAGGGATAGTTCATTCAAAAATGAAAATATTGTCATCTTTTATTCACCCTCCTTTCTTTTTCGGACCACAAAAGGAAAAAAATTCAAAAAATGTCCTGCTCATGCTCGTCCAGGATCAAGCTTTTAAAAAAAGACGTAAAAGTATCAATGATCCCATATGTGCCATATATTCGAATATATTCCAATTTTTGTTTTTGGATGAATTTCAGTCTGATTGGCAAGTTACATTGAAAATGTAAAAAATCACCTTTTTTCAACTTAATTAAATTTACGTTATAAGTGGACTTCAGGGCAAAAATGTGGTTAATATCGTAGTGTATTCCATTAAAATACCCTTTAAATTATTAAAACTATACTTCCTGAAATAGGGTTAGGAATCGAACATCGATTCCAATGCAGGAATCAAATACTTAAGGACAGGAATCGAAAACTTGTTATAAAACCGTAAACCGTTGAGAAAGAAAACGCATGTGTAACCGTATATTGGATCAGTGCAGCTCTTAAAGTGACAGCAGTCTAATATTCCTGCTGCCGTCTCTATAGTAACATTAAACAAACAATAAAAGCAAATACATAATATTTATAATGTATATTTTATTTATAAAGTGCAGTGTTATTTTAAATTCGACATTTTATTTTACAGAACAGTTTCTGTATGTGAAAATCACTTTATTTCAGTTTTGTTCAGTTGTATTTATTTGTGCAACTGCTAATTTTTTTTTAATTTGTTCTTTTTTTAATTACTGAGTGTTTATGCTTGAAATGTATATTAGTTAGGCTAGTTGTTTTATGGTATTTTTAAACCATAGGCAAAAGTTCCTTGTGTAAGTATTCAGATACATTGAAATGTTTGCAATAAGACTTAGAATAAATGTGAATGTTATATATGTTTTATGCCTTATTGGAATAAAAAACTAGGAATTCTTATTGTTATAAGCAGAATCTGAATTTTACTAAACAGCCCTGTAAGATCCAGTTGTTATATGAAGCTATGGCAGTATTTTGCATTTGTATATACTAGAAATCTTTAGACTACTATTTTCATAACAAATACTATAGTGTTATGCAGTATATAAGCCATAAGCCACTGTATATTTTACTATGGTAGCAAATGAGAAAAGAATTTAATACTGTAGAAGAACAATGCTTAAGTTTGATAAGAGCAAATACATAAAGTCAACGGCTGTAAAGTCTAAATTCAGTCGCATGGTCGGAATAATTCACCTTAAACCTAAAAATTTTATGTTTTTTGTTTTTACAGAAAAGTACGTTTACAGTGCATTTATAAACTTGCCCATTTTCATGAATCAAAATATTTAATATTAGGAACTGCACTCACAATTACAATTGTAATATTGTGATATTTTCAGTTTATGTAATGCACTTCTTAAGGTTTAGGGATGTTTGGGTTCTGTCTGAATTGAAACTGGCAAAATGAGTCACAATGAGCACATTTTCAAAAATTAGTTATTGTTATTTTCACATTCTCTTATGAAGTCAATAGAGTCAGCAAACTCCATTTGGAGAAAAATCAAGTTTTGTAACGATTCCAAAAAAAAAATCATGTAGCAACGGTACCTTAAAATCCCTGGTAAAAACAGCAAATTTAGCACACACCAAATATCTATAGGAAATAAATATATATTGACCCCCCCCCCCCCCCATGATACCACAATTGTTTGATTAACATTACTGTACCTACTGTACCGTATGGATCTAATATAATGATGTTTTCCCCCAACAGTTAACCTAACGTTCACTGAAGACATAACTGATGATGTCAGTGTGAATACTTTTTTTTTATTAATGCAATTTTTATAAACAGAACAAGTCAAGACATACAAGTAGTAAACAATCTATCAAAACAAGGAGACATTATGATACCAAATACATTAAGAGAGGAGTTATGAAAAGAAATAACATTACTTTACATTAGTCTTAAAGAAAAAAAAAGAGAGATGAGGGCAAACAAAAAAAAAATAAAACATTAAGGAAGAATATTAAACATGGTACAAATTCTGGATGTTTTCATTGCTTTCTTATTGAGAGATGTTGAAATTGTATTTAAATACATCTTCAATTCTTCTTTGAAAAAGCTAAAGTGGGGTTTACTGTTCATATATTTAGCTTTATGGATATGAAATTTTCCAATATATAAAAGAAGGTTTATACAAAAACATGCATTAATTACATTTTTGTCTTTGACATAGAATCCAAAAAGAATGTGTTTATATGATAAAGAAAAATTACAAAAAACCTTTTGGACAAGGAGAGCATTAAAATTGTCCCAGAAAGACCGAGTGAAAAAACATTCCCAAAACAAATGATCAACAGTTTCAGAGGAGGTTTCACAAAAAGAGCAGGAACTATCAATATCATTTCTAAATTTCTTTAAAAAGTATTTAACTGGATAAAATCTTTGAATAATACTTGCCAAGACAGAACTTTTGAAATACTGTATTTCTGTAGGCGTATATCGGAAACGCACGCTGTCTGAGTTTTCAGCTTGAGTTTGAAAATCACATGTTATTGGTTCACACTTGTGCCATCGAGAATTCACCATAAATATTGGGTGAGAATTCACCATAAATATTGAGTGAGAATTCACCATAGATATTGAGTGAGAATTCACCCAATACCAGTGTGGGTAGTGGTGGCGCAGTGGATAAGTTGGAAAGTTGCGCTTTAAAACGATACCAAACTTGTGCTGAGGAGAAGCAAGCAGAGAAAAATGCAGTTTTTCACGGACAAGGAAAGGTACAAATGAAGATACTTTTAGATGTTTAATTGGGAAAAAGCATTGAGATCGCTAGACGAGGGCTTAATGAACTCATTTTTGTGAAAACCTAAATTTTGACCAAAAATGTTCATTTTTTTCACTAGTTTTGCCTGTGGCTCTCAATAAGCCTGTGCACATTCCCACTCATTTTGCCAGCATGCGTCACATTTACTCTATTATTCTCAGATCACATCGTTCAAATAAATATGACAAATCAATCTCTCCGATCAAATGTTGTTTCAGATGAAAATGGACCTTCAGTCATTATTAGGACTGAATCATAATCACTGGAGTGGACGAACCCTTGGTGAGTATCGATTTTAGCATCACGATCACTTTTAAAATGTGTTTCGCTTGCACTTAGTATTAAAGTCAAGTGTGTAACTCCTGCTCAGTTTGGACAAGAATGATACTTCAAAATGCCACTAACATTGGTTTCGTATTTATGTTACTAGTGGGACCCTTAACTGACTTTAGCATCAAGAGTGGTTTAAGAAAGCACCAAATGTTGAATGAGACGACTGCTGTCCAAACCCTGGACCATGCCAGAAAAGCAGGTTTTTAGAGAGCCAAATATATCGGGAATAGTGAGGACTTTTCTTGTTATGCTGATTATCCTAGAACTTATCATGCTGAATGTTATCAAGTATATTTCTCATCTTTTATGAAACGGAGCGCCACAGGACAATCACTGGCATTTTCCCAGCTCATAGACCTGTTGGACTGTTTATGATGACAACATACGGACACATCTCTGATCAAATCTATCAGCACCCATTTGGAGGTATTTCTAGGATGTTTTGTTCTTGATCATATTCCACCCAAACATATATCAAACGTGCGGGAAAAAAAACAAAACTTAAGTTGTTTAAACTGTGAAGTATTTAAACATTTGGGGAGTATTTCTCATCCTGTCTTTAATTTATGCTGATTTTAATTCAAAGCATTGTATTACAATAAACAAAGTCTGTATAGCAATAATGAGCATAATATGGCTTACAGCAAATCTTAAAATGAAAATGATGCATTACAATAATGAAAGCAAAATAGGTTTCTTAGTTATTTATGCACAATATCATTCCTCGAATTTCCTTTTTCTTTTCATTTGGTGTGAAATGTGATCTAGAAATGTTTTATGATATTCACCCAATGGTGCAAACCTTTGGTGTGTGTGTGTGTGTGTGTGTTGCCACCATCTATATGAGTTTCCATATTCAGTTGGTAAGAAATCAATCCTATGCATTTATCCACTGTATCCTTAGGCTAGCATTTTTTATGACGCTTTTTTAACCCTGAATGCCGACTGCTTTCCTGTGGTCAGTAGAGCAGTCTGGATTCGCCTCATTCCTTTTGCATTGTGATGCAGTGTAAACACATTTTGATACCTCTGTCTGTATATATTTAGGAAGAGACTGCTGAGGTCAGTGTTCATTAGGACTTCTAGCATGTATGTGTATTACCAGGCTGTTTTCAGACTATGGGACTGCCTTGTGAGGTGATGGTGAAGTAATTACCTTGTTTTCCTCTAGTACAAAAAGATATGGGATAGCAGTGTGGTATTGTACGTGAGCGAGTAATCCTTTTGAATTTTGTCCTCTTTTGAAAGTTTGAGTCCGTTTGTGTGTCCCTTTTCAGATACTGTAATTATATACATAAATAATAATTGGTATACCCAATTATATGGTTCTCTCTTACGAGGATCCATATTAGCCAATGCTTATTGTTGTTTTTTTGCACTGACCCTAATTTTGGGGTGATTATTGCTTCCTTTGACTGTGTATGTGCTCAAACACTTTTACTGGACTTTCACTACATGTTCAAGTCATTACATGCCAATGTTTTTCCAATGGTACAAAATATGTATTGTTTGAAAGTTATGTTGGCTCATTAAATATCAACAATCTTTAGATTCTTTACTTATTTGGTGATCTTCACTTCATAAAGTTTAAGGCCTGGTTTCACAGACTTCCGTTGAATCACCGATCTCGCTGGCGAACTGATGACGGACCACACTAAGTTTATTTATACGGCATCTCTGGTAAATTAGTCTGATTCACTAAAGTGCCGGCTGCAAACAAACGTGCTACCTTGTTTTATTTTAAAGTTTTAATCCATTTCTTCCTTATACTCAATTCAGTCGGGAATCCATGAAAACTTAAGTAGGGTTGGCGTTGTTGGTTAGATTTACAAAGTGGAACAGAGTAGTGAATAAAAAGCATTCGTCTCAGGCATTGTTGAACTGCGTCGGAAGTGGACATGCACAAAGTTGACAAATCCCGCCCATGAAACCCGGAAGCGTGATAATCCCCTTTTAGTGCGTCCCAAACCGTAGTATGTTGAAATGAGTGTTTCAAAGATTTTATCACACCACAAATTTTATTACACCACATGATTAGTATGCAATACTCATTCTTTCTGCCAGGACTAACATGAACTAACAATGCACAATACATTTGTTACAGTATTTATTCTTCTTTTTTTATATTTAGTTAATAAAAAACACACCTTTTCATTCTTTGTTCATGTTAGTCCATGTGCATCAACTAATGTTAATACAAGTTTTGATTTTAATAATATTTTATTAAGTTAAAATTAACTAAGATTAATAAAAGCTGTATAAGTATTGTATATTCTTAGTTCATGTTAACTAAGGTAGTTAACTAATGTTAACTACTAAACCTTATTGTAAAGTGTTACCCAAATTTGTAAATTACTGTTCAGATTTTTGTGTCTTCTATCAGAACTGAAATATTATCAAGCCCATGTATGAGTAATCAAATTTATCTCAACCTCAGCTGGAAATGTCCAATTTAATATGTCAAAAAAGTATATGTAAAGCATTTAAATTGAAATGGCTATAAAGACTTAAGATTTATTAAATGGGGCAAATTAGCATTAGAGCGCAACTCCATGAGGTGGTGATGGCAAGACACATGTTTTTGGTGTGAGAGACCCGGGTTCAAATCCACTGTGAGACACCAATGTGTCCCTGAGCAAGACACTTAACCCCTAGTTGCTCCAGAGGCGTGCGACCTTTGACATATATAGCAATTGTAAGTTGCTTTGGATAAAAGCGTCGGCTAAATGAATAAATGTAAATGTAAACTCCATAAAAGCGTTGATGGGTGTGTGAAGTTCTGCTCATGATTTACTGACGACACACATTAAAGAACACAGATGCAGTTGGACCATTTCCATAATGACCAACACAATTTAAAAACAAAAGCTCAATTTTACCTTCCTGACACTAATAAAACATCTGAAAAATCTCCAAAGTTCTCAGGATTACATACAGATGTTGTTTTGTAGGGTTGCAGCTGAACTCTGCAGGACTCACAGACCTGCATTACTAAATAAACAACATCAGTAAAGTCTCACACTACTAACTCAGAGTAATGCTATTTCCACAATGTAATTAATGTGATTTAATTACATTTTCTGCATGTATGTGCACATGTACAACATGACATCATGACTTTAGCGTAAACATACACACCACTTTCAAGTCAAGAATTAATTATCTATACACATTTTGAGCTATCCGCGTGTATGCGTGTATGTCTACGCCGTTAAATGTCCGAGTGATTCCACGTGTATGTACACGCCGTTAAATGTCAGAGCGAAACAAAGCAAAATGTAGCAAATCTACATCTGGGGAGCGATATTTTTTTTTTCTTAGGATGGTAGGGGAAGACTCATAAATGCTGTTAAAGGGTTAGTTCACCCAAAAATTGAAATTAAGTCATTAATTACTCACCCCCATGCTGTACCAACCCCGTAAGACCTTCGTTCGTCTTCGGAACACAAATGAAGATATTTTTTATTAAATTTGAGAGCTGTCTCACTACCACATTGGCTCCTAAGGGACTGGCTCTTGACGGCCCAGAAAGTCAATGAAGAAAATGTTTAAATATCCCAAGTGACTACCGTGGCTCAACTATAAGTTTATCAAGCGACGAGAATACTTTTTGTGCGAAAAAACAAACAAAAATAACAACTTTATTCGACTATTCCTTTTCTTCCTTGTTGGCCTGAAACGAGACTTCCTTTGATTTCCACGACGCATGCGCGAGAATTGCGATCTCCTTCAACTACCTCAGTTCAGTTCTCGCGCGTGCGTCGTGGAAATCTAAGGAAGTCTCGTTTCAGGCCAACAAGGAAGAAAAGGAATAGTCGAATAAAGTCGTTATTTTTAATTCTTTTTTCGCACAAAAAGTAGTCTCGTCGCTTGATAAACTTATAGTTGAGCCACGGTAGTCACTTGGGATATTTAAACATTTTCTTCATTGACTTTCTGGGCCGTCAAGAGGCAGTCCCTTAGGCAGCCAATGTGGTAGTTATACAGCTCTCAAATTTAATCAAAAATATCTTCATTTGTGTTCCGAAGACGAGCATTGGTACAGCATGGGGGTGAGTAATTAATGACTTAATTTTCATTTTTGGGTGAACTAACCCTTTAACCCCAGTGACGGGTAGGTTTAGGAACGGGGTTGGGGTAGATCATATATTTGTATATACGGTCATGTAATGTTTAGACAACAGCGTTCATAAACACGCTGAAAAGCGATTATGCGTGTTGATAGCACGCCAAAAATGGAAATACGAATTGGCGTGTCATACATACGCCATTTCATGAGATCAGTCTGAACCTTAGTCATATTTTTTAAAGCCTTGTCTGTCTGAAGCCCAAGCCATGTCACCCTGAAGGCCAAGACTGGTTCCCCACTGAAGCTGAGCAGGGTTGAGTTTGGTCAGTTCCTGGGTGAGAGACTCCTAGGAAAACTTGGTTTCTGCTGGAAAAGGTGTTAGTGAGGCCACTAGGGGGCACTGCTCACCCTGTGGTGTGTGTGGGTCCTAACGCCCCAGTGTAGAGATGGGGAACTACACTGTAACAAGCAACGTCCTTCGGGTTGAGACGTTAAACCGAGGTCCGGGCTCTCTGTGATCTTGAAAAATCCCAGGATGTCCTTCGTAAAAGAGTAGGGATGTAACCGCGGTGTCCTGGCCAAATTTGCCCAGTTGCCTCTGTCCATCATCACGGCCTCCTAATCAGCATGTATTCTGATTGGCTTTATCTCTCCACCAGTGAGCCGGTGTGTGGTGGATGTTCTGGATCATCCAGGTGATGCTGCACATTGGTGGTGGTTGAGGAGATTCCCCACTTCTTTATGTAAAGCGCTTCGGGTACCCAGAAAAACGCTATTTAAATGTAACGAATTATAAAGTGAAAGTGAGTTTTTTTGTTTTTTTGTTTTTTTTTTTTAAAGTAGAAGCTGAGCATTTAAAATGTAATCCTCGGAATGATTGTGTGTAAAAATGACAGGCGTGAACGGTCTATTATTGTGCTACTTTGGAGGACCATTTTTGTAGCATTCAGCACTTGTTACTTGGCTAGACACCAAGCACTGTGTAATTTCCAGAGGAGGTCTACAATTACCACTGACGGCTGGCTTGATGTTGAATGAGTTTGAAATGTTGAACGGAATACAAAGGTCAGCAGGAACAGAACAGAGAGGTGGAGGATTTTTGATTTCACATTTTTAATGGCAAATAATTACATGACGTTTCAGGAGGCCAAAACGGACCGAATATTCAGAGAAGATAACTGACTTTCTTAGATGCAGACAGAAAGGTAGGGGTGGTGGTGACTGCTAAGTGTACTTTCTGTCTATCTATCTATAATAAACTGTCTGTCTATAAGCTGTCTGTCTGATACACTGCCGTTTTTGCAGGTTTTCCCACCTACAAAGCATGTAGAAGTCTGTAATTTTTATCTTCAACTGTGAGTGATGGAATCTAAAACAAAAATCCAGAAAATGACATTGTATGATTTTTAAGAAATGAATTTACCGTTTATTGCATGACATAAGTATTTGATCACCTACCAACCAGTAAGAATCCCGGCTCTCACAGACCTGTTAGTTTCTCTTTAAGAAGCCCTCCTGTTGTCCACTCATTACCTGGATTAACTGTTTGAACCCATTACCTGTATAAAAGACACATGTCCACACACTCAATCAAACAGACTCCAAACTCTCCACAATGGCCAAGACCAGAGATCTGTGTAAGGACTTTGGGGATAAAATTGTAGACCTGCACAAGGCTGGGATGGGCTACTAGGCAAGCAGCTTGGTGAGAAGGCAACAACAGTTGGCGCAATCATTAGAAAATAGAAGAAGTTCAAGATGACGGTCAATCTCCCTCGGTCTGGGGATGTCACCTCGTGGGGCATCAGTGATCATGAGGAAGGTGAGGGTTCAGCCCAGAACTACACGGCAGGACCTGGTCAATGACCTAAAGAGAGCTGGGACCACAGTCTCAAAGAAAACCATTAGTAACACACTACGCCATCATGGATTAAAATCCTGCAGAGTATGGAAGGTCCCCCTATTCAAGCTAGCGCATGTCAAGGCATGAAGAGTTATAAGCTGTCTAGATAGATCTATCTATCCATCTATCATAAGCTGTCTGTCTATCTATGCCCACCACCACCTCCTTCACTTCAAAGGACTCTATATATCTATTCTAAGCTGCCTGTCTGTCTCTATCTTTGCCTACCTCATTCTATCTATCTATCTATCTATCTATCTATCTATCTATCTATCTATCTATCTATCTATAATAAGCTGTCTGTCTGCCCGTCTGTCTCTATCTATGCCTACCTCCTTCACTTGGACTATCAATCTATCTATAAGCCTTCCTATAACCAATAATAAGGTTTCTGTCTGTCTATCTATCTACCCACCACCACCCCCTTCACTAGGAAGGACTATCTATCTATCTGTCTGTCTATCTATCTATCTATCTATCTATCTATCTATCTATCTATCTATCTATCTATCTATCTGTCTGTCTGTCTGCCCGTCTGTCTCTATCTATGCCTACCTCCTTCACTTGGACTATCAAT